CATTGCATTTGAGTTAGATCCGTCTGTTAAACCAATACGATTAAAGTATCGGAAGGTTCCAATCTCAGTCAAGCCTCGGGTTGAAGAGGAACTAGACAAACTCATTGCTCAGGGAATCCTAGAACCAGTACCTTTCAGTAGGTGGGAAACACCCATCATGACTCCGGTCAAACCGGATGGGTCCGTGCGAATATGCGCGGACTACAAATGCACCCTGAATAAAGCCTTGCAGCAGCACTCGTATCCAGTCCCAGTTATCAGCCACATCCTGGCTTCCCTGGGGGGAGGGAAGCTATTAGCTAAGCTTGACTTAGCTCAGGCATACCAGCAGCTGCCTGTCACACCTGAGGCTGCTGAAGCACAAACCATTGTGACTCACAGAGGGGCATTTAAGGTGAACTGACTCCAATTTGGGGTCAACGTGGCACCGGGAATTTTCCAGGGTCTCATGGAACGATTGTTACGGGGGGTACCTGGTACGGTGCCTTATTTTGACGATGTGTTGATTGCCGGAGGTTCTGAACAAGAATTGTTAAACCGTGTAAAAGAAGTGCTGAAACGTTTCCAGAGTGCCGGGCTAAAGGTAAAGAAATCCAAATGTACCCTCGGGGTTGACAGTGTGGAGTTTCTAGGTTTTCGCATAGATGAAAAAGGGGTACACCCCACAGGCGCAAAGGTGGAGGCTATTCAGAATGCCCCCAGGCCAGCTGGTAAAAAGGAGCTGCAATCATTCCTTGGTTTGCTTAATTTTTACCATGCATTTTTACCACACAAGGCATCAGTGGCAGCACCCTTGCATGCACTTTTGCATAAAGAGGCAAAATGGAAATGGGGACAAGCTGAAGACAGGGCTTTTGAGGGAGTTAAGGAGCTGTTGACATCTAATGATGTGTTGACTCATTATGATGAGCAAAAGCTCCTGGTGTTAGCGACGGACGCTTCACCTTTTGGAGTAGGCGCAGTTTTGAGCCACCTGATGCCTGATGGGAGCGAAGCGCCTATCGCTTTTTACTCGAGGTCTCTATCTGCGGCAGAGAGGAACTATGCCCAGATAGATAAAGAAGGTCTGGCGTTAGTAACGGCTGTCAAAAAGTTCCATGATTTTATTTTTGGCAGGAGGTTTTTATTGGTAACTGACCACAAGCCGCTACTGGGGATTTTTGCGCCCGATAAGCAACTGCCTAACGTTATGTCCCCACGTATGCTTAGATGGGCAATATTTTTACAGGCGTACGATTTTGACCTGGAACACCGGCCCGGTAAGGCCATAGGGCATGCTGATGCACTCAGCCGTTGTCCCTTACCTAACCAAGGAACAGACCCAGCTCCTGCCTGCGAGGTTTTGGCTATTGACGAGCTGCCCCAGGCACCAGTCTCCTCCAAGGAAATCGCAGTGTTCACAGCAAAGGACAGTGTGTTGTCACGTGTCCTTAACTGGGTTTGGAGGGGGTGGCCAGGAGGACTGGAGCCTGAATTCAAACCGTACAAAGCCCGCCAAAAGGAACTGTCAATCTCTAAAGGTTGCATTCTTTGGGGAAACAGGGTGGTGGTTCCTGACAAACTCAGGGGCCGAGTACTCGAATCCTTACATGAGGGGCACCCAGGCATGGTGCATATGAAGGCACTGGCACGAGGGTACGTTTGGTGGCCTGGGCTTGATTCCGAAATTGAGGAATGGGTTCAGGGATGTATGCTGTGCCAACAAAACAGACCGGAGCCTCCACAAGCTTCCCCTCAGAGGTGGGAGTCAACGGGAAAACCGTGGTCTAGGCTGCATATCGATTTTGCAGGCCCAGTACAAGGGCAAATGTTCCTCATTCTGGTAGACTCAATGTCCAAATGGTTGGAAGTGGTGCATATGAAATCGACCATGTCCATAGCTGTGATTCATGCGCTGCGCTGGCTCTTCGCAACCCACGGACTGCCGGACGTATTAGTCAGCAACAACGGGCCCCAATTCACATCACAGGAATTTACGCAATTCCTAGCTGACAATGGCATTTGCCAGGTTACCTCTGCCCCGTTCCACCCAGCATCCAATGGGCAGTCTGAGAGGATGGTTAGGACGGCTAAAGAGGCCCTTGGGAAGATGTGTGGACTGGAATCAAAGGTTGGGTTCTTTCCTGTTGCGGCAGCACACCACCCCCTGTAGTACTACGGGCCGTAGTCCAGCCGAGATGTTAATGGGCCGACGCCTCCCCACTCGTTTAAACCGGCTACATCCGGATCTAAACGAGGAACAGGCCGAGCACAATGATTCCCAACCGAAAGTGCGCATGTTTGAGACGGGAGACAAGGTCTTTGCCAGAAACTACGCAAGTGGGCATTCGTGGATCCCGGGGGTAGTGGGTGAGTGTGTAGGCACCCGCATGTATGTGGTCAAGCTGGCTGATGGCAGGAAATGGTGGCGCCACATAGACCAGCTAAGGAGACGTTGGGTGAAGGACAGCGCTGACTCTCCGACAGCTGAGTCCCCCGAACCAGCGTACAGTCCTCCTGACACAGAGGTAAGTACGAACCCCGAAGCAGGGCAGACCTCCCTTCGAGGCTGCAATCCCCGAGAGTGTGTCTGACCCAGTTAGCAACAAGCCCATAGCTGAACCACAGTTAAGTGTGCCCACTGAGCCTGCACTGCTTCGCAGATCTCAGCGTACGCGGCAAACACCCACGTACCTAAAGGACTATGACTGCAATAAAGTGTATGGTGTTGGCTGATGTACCATTATTTTAACCTGTAAATGTGAAAAATGTATGATGTCTTAACTTAGGGGGGAGGAATTGTAATGTATTGAAAAGTCTTACTGAAATCGCCTCATTCAACTCCCATGTTAAGCTTGAGCCTGACAAAGGCTCCCCAGGACTAATTTCCTATTGGTCGCCATTCAACAGCGACCAATCAGAACTGTTCCAGTTCCCTGCGAAGGAAAGACTCTCATTGGTTCTTATCCGCACAACCTCATTGGTTGTTTATTGTAAATAGGCGTGGCTATGTTAGCCCGGAAATGTTTAAAAGGAGCCTAGCTCCCAATGTTAATCTGTTCTGGTTATGAATGTGTTGTTCCTTACTTCAATAAAGCTGATTCACTTACTGAAATCACTCTCCGGATCTTTGTTAGTAGCAATCTAACACTACACATTCACATGACTTAAAAACAAACAAACCTGTACACCAAGGTTGTTATGCTTTTTTTTTTAATGTAGTAAGCCAAGACATAAGAATCCCCACATTCTGAAGTATGTACATGCTGAATTGATCTGGCCTTATTCCTTCACAAGAGCTTGTCCTCGACAAAGAAACTTAGTGGACAATCAAATGCTGGTCCGCAGATTGTACTGAAAAGAAAGGATGTTTCTATAAGCGACGCTGAAAGGCATTGAGAAAGAGGGGCGGGGGAGGTGAGGAGTCCTCCATGGCTGCATGGCGGAGTGTCACGTCTTCCTCCCAGGGGCAACCTTCACTTCAGGAGGTGTGAATGGATTTTCTCAAGTGCACTTTGACAGCTGGGCGCAAGAGGAGCGCAGCAGCGGCAGCAACAGCTGGAGACATTCCTCACTTGCTCCCCCCCCTCCTCGTGCGAGAAGCGGGCTGTCCCTAACCAGGAACGCCTGGGTTCGCCCTCCTCTTCCTCCTCGTCGGCTCGCGACGCTGCAACAGCCAGCCAGCGCAGCGCGAGGCGCGCTTCCCTCCAAGAAGTCGTAGGAGGCTGACGTCGTGTCTGATGAAACAGAGCTGGTCGATTGCTGCAGCGAGGGCGTCAGGAGCACCCCACACAATCCCAATCACCTGCCGGGGGCTTCCTCCAGCGGCTCCTCCGCCATAACAAGAGAGGGGGAGGAGCTTTTTGTAGCCAGCTGCCGCCGGATTGCTCGACCGGAAGGCTTGAGGTGGGAATCCCGAAAGCACCATTGCGCTTCCCGAAGGCAGGTTCCCGCCCTGAAGCCGTACCTTAATGCGGATGGCTGTTCATGGACGGAAGGAATGCAGGATCGGAGCCTGCCTGACAAAAAGGCTGACCAGTGCACATAAGCCAGAGCTGATGCAAGCGCTGCAGTGGGGCTGCACAAGGAAAAACTGTGCTCCCCCCAACGAAACCCGGAGCATCGCTTCAAGAGAATCGGGAAGGGAAAACAGGATGGAGAAGTCACCTAAAAGACAAATTCGAATCAAACTTTTCTCTCAGACACACACACACCCTTGGGCTTGCCTTGGCAATTCGTTTTCTCCGGTTATTATTGTTAGGTAGGGGTGAGAGAGAAGTATTTCTTCCATGTGAGCATGCAAATAATATGAACCAAGATTAATAAAGCATGCAGTCTGAAATGCAAGTATTAGTCCCGACATGTGGGTTTTGTCCTTTTGGGAGGATTCGGGAGCGTAAAATCAGACCCCCTACCCTTTTCTCTCCAAGCAACATGTGCAAATTGCAAATACCGTGGGCTCTCCGGATGGCATGTACATGCGCTGCCTAGCCGCCTGGGTCGCCTGCACAACAGCCTGCCTTTCTTCGCAGCTCTCGCACTGTCCGCTTCAGTCGTGCTTTACAAGGCAAGGATGACGGGGGGGGGGGGGGAGAATAAGTATTCCTCATAGACAGCAAAAGGAATAGATCTGTAAATTGCCGGGTGTAAACGATCTGACCACTTTTTCCAGTCTGCTGAACAACCGCAGCATTATGGGTTCATCGGTGGTCTTCGCGCTTGCAATAACTTGCTAACCAACCCCGCTCCAGTTTTAACAACTTTTTTTTTTTTTGCAAGGCTTTTGTCTTGATTGGATTGCTTGGCCGCAATCGCTCCTTGCATACTTTTGCAACCTGCTGCTGTTTGCAGCGAGTTCTGCTCCCAAAATATAGTTCCTCGCAGGATTGTGTAGTAGTTGAGTGCAGGCCCCGCCCCCTGAGCGTGGTGTCAGAGCGAAATAGAAGCTCCGGTTGGTCGGGTCGGCGGACAACATCTGCTCGACTCCTTCATTCAAGTGACACCAGAGCTTTCAGGGATATTTGAGGCACCATCCCTTCCCTTTCCCGGCCACTTCTCGCACTTGTACCCGCTCTGGTGGTACGCCCTGAGTGCTGGTGTAGAGACCCGGGGAGCTCTCGACTGCTTAGCCCTTTTTGCAAAGAGGCGAGGAGTGAGAGGGGGCCAGGCCTTCAAGCGGTGTGGGTGGAAAATCAGGACCATGTGTGCAGAGTGGTTTGGGAAATTAGTTACCGTGGCGTTGGTCTTTGCAAGCTTTGAGCCGGCCGTGGGCACAGAAACCACCAGTCCACCGGACGGTGCCCAAGACAGAGCTCCTCACCAAAAAGGGCGGCTGTCTTTGCAAGATACAGGTATGTGTTTTGTGTTCGTTGTTTCCCCCGAAACATTGCTGTGTAGTTCGGAAGGCGTTTTCGACAGGAATCCGCTGAAGCGCGTTAGTGTTACGTGTATCTGTGTAATTCTGGATTATGAGAATGCACTGGAATGAGCATCGTTATTTCACGAAGAGGGGTGACAAGCCCCATATCATAGAGATGCTTCCCGGCTGCTTTGAAAGCTCTCGCTCGCCAAGCACGTGTTCTCCCATTTGAACTCCGGAGGCAGGCGCCTGGCCGCTCTTCTAGCCAGCCTAGTGCCTTCAATAGGCAAAAGAAACCCAGCAACACAGGTAGAAATAGAGCATTAGTGTAAAAGTTAGATCGAGTGGTAATTATAAACCTGCGTTTTTATGGACCTTAAGACAGAAACAAAGACTTTAATAACTAGGACCACGGGAGCGCTTTGCGTGCCTTTGCGCGTTGCAAAACTGGGCAGCTCGAATCCTTTAATATTATACATGATTCCGGAGGCAAAAGTCGGGAACGGGGGAGCATTTGCTAGTTCAAAAGATGCTGCCGGAACACCAGTTAAGCATGCGATTGCAGCGGGAAAAAGAAAAAAAAAAGAACACTTTAAATGTGCAAGGGTAAGTACAAACGAGCCGAACTGCGGAGTCCCTTTTTCTGCCGAGGGAGGCATGCCATGATGCAGCTGATCAAGGAGGATTCTGTTCTTCACTTCTCCTTACTGTGATCTTTTTGATGGGCAGAAGACACAATGCAGTGTCCCTTCCTTGGAGGAAAGGGATCCTAGAAAGAGAGACAAGCTTTTGACTCTTACAAAGCATGGGCTGAAAGGAGGCAGGGATGTAGTCTCCATACACTCACACTTCAACTGTGTCCTCGCTGGCTATTGTGATCCTTTAGTTAAATGCACACACCGGTAGGAATGCACAACTGTCCATTAAAGACTGCCACGTGTGAATCACTGCTCTGTGCAGTTCTCAGGATGCTTGAGCCAGGACATGTGATCGGAACTCTTCCTATCCCACCAGTGCCAACACAAGCACTACAGCTGGGTTCCTGGATGCACATGCACACCCCCAGGTCCAGGCGGCACACTTATACAACACTTGACAAAGAGCCCTTTTTTCCCCATTTTCTGTGTGCAACTTCTCTTGTGTGTATAAAACACAACACAGCGATGATCCTCCACTGACGGGAAGGAGGTAGAACTGCCAATCCGTGGTGACTTTTGTGCACCCTTGTCCAAGCATGTTCTTTTTACGAGGAAAGGAGAACTTCTGTCCGTGGTCTTTAATTTGGGCTTTTCAATATGAGTTTTCTTTGCAGGATATTAAACCTAAGGTTGGCATGTACTCAGCCTTTGTAAGTTCAGTCAGTTCTCTTTTTCTTTCATGAATTCAAATAAAAGCGGCGGGGGAGGGGAGGGCGGCACTTCTGTGATCTGAAGCAACTGGTCCAAGGAAGAAGACTGGCTCTTGGGCTCTCAGCATTCTCACCCATAGTTCAGTTTGAAGTTTCCCTGCAGCTTCTCCTTGTCTTCCTTGCACTTGAAAAAAAAAGTTAATTCTCAAAATGGTATGTATTTTGATCTGAACACATTCATGCAATATCTGGTGGAGCTGCACTCTTCAGAAACACTGTATAGTGAAAAAAGGAAAAACAGATTGACCTTTGGCTCCTGTGCCTTAATGTTAAAAAGTTGGCTGTTTTATTGCATCTGCACGATTACCAGGTAGCAAACCGCTTTTATCACACAGCCGATTCCTGTAATGCTTAAACTCATCTGATTGTGCTGTGAAAATCCAAGGAGTAAATAGTGCATTAAAATGTGTTAGCAAAAAGGTTTTGTCCTGCATCAGGGAGACTGAATGGTGGTAGGGGGCTTGTAAGTGGCTTCAGTAATTTGGAGGACATGTGCTTATAAAAAAAAGTTTTAGAAATTGACAGTGATGGTTATTGATTTTCAGCTGAAATCCAGCACTGCCTGGTCAATGCTGGTGACGTGGGATGCAGTGTGTTTGAGTGCTTTGAAAACAACTCCTGTGAGATCCGAGGCTTACATGAAATCTGTATGACATTCCTTCACAATGCTGGAAAATTTGATGCCCAGGTAAGCATAACAAAACTGAAAAGTGTAACAGTGAGGCAAGCAGGCTTCGAAGTTGCTAATATTGAATTAAAAGGGTTTTCTTTTCTTGCTTTGACCCAACTCCCTATCTTCATTTATGTGAATTAATTTCTATCTTAACATAGTGTTTAGAAATGTCTTTATAACATTCTATCTCAGCTTCATCATCCACTCTTCATCTTTTTTTAGCACCCAAACACATGTGCCATAGCTTGGTATCAAGTTTCACCAATTAGGAAAAAAAGACATTACAGTTTACTTAATGAGGCCATATAGGAGTACTTAGTTGAAAATTATGTTACTAAGGCTTATAAAACCAAAGATTTGTTGTACTAAAGACCTAACCCATCCTTTCACATACACTTGGCAACTCATTGCTTGTAATTGTTGCTTGTTGAGAACATGGACAAAAATGAATTTGATACATATGCTAGAAGATGACCTTTTTTGTCCCCTTGAACAATTGCCAAAGAGGCTCACAATCTAAATATGATTTAAGTGTGCGGGGGAGAACCAGATACACAGAGTAGAGGTTCCATTGCTGAAGAAACAAGCCATTGTTTAGTTTTTTTAAAAAAAACCAAAACTGTTGCTTATCTGTTCAGTAGTGGGAACTGCTGTAAAACCAGTATCAAAACCTATAATTTAATTGACTCTCATCCTGGATTCATAGATCTTAGTACTGTGTGAAAAGAATTGTCCAAAACATTTTGACTCCTGAGACAAATGACACCTTCAAGCTTAGTGAGTAATTTAATAGTAAATGCTGCCCTGACCTGGGATGGGCCAGGCTAGCCTAATCTTGTCAGGTCTTGGAAGCTAAGTAAGGTCGGACCTGGTTAATGCTTGGATGGATGACCACCAAGGAAGTCAGTGGTTGCTACGCAGAAGCAGGAAAACCCTACAGGGCTACTGTAAATCAGCTGCTACTAAGTGGAGCTCCTCAGTCCAAACACAGATTGTTAATCAGAAATATTTTTTTCTGAATCAGTTATGCTGTGCCAAAACTTAAATCTGGCACACTTTCTATGATTGGTCAAATACATTTCTGCAAGGTATCACATGCAGCAGCCCCTCTCTACTGCTGCTTTTTTCAAGCTAGTCCTTGGCTCTCCACCAGTGTCAAAGTACATTCCGTAGGCAGTGTTGTGGTATTAAGTTTGCCTTCTTTGTTTTCTCTCTAAACCATTTGTGCATCATTGAAGCATCCTGTTATTATGCCTTATACAGCTACA